ATTTTTTTTTTTTTTTTTTTTGTTTATTCTATAGATTATCAGTTGTGTAAATAAAAAAAAAAAAAATATGTATTTTATATTTTTATTTTTTTTTTTTTTATTAGAAAAATATCTTATATTCTTACAAGTAAACACTAAAATTTGAAAGAAAATTTATAAGTTCTTCTATTGGTAGATTTGAATTAATAAAATTATTACTTAAAGATAATTTGTATGTATTTATTCCATATTTTGATCCTTTTATCGAATTAAAATATAAAATGTCTTCATTAGTTAAATAACAATAACTAAGATTTAAATATTTAACAACACTATTTTTACATAGTTTTAAGATATAATCAATTTCTTCTTTATTAATATTGTAATGATAAAAATTAATTTCCTTAAAAAAATAAAATATATATGTATATATTATATAAGTAAATGTAAATATTTATATATTTAGAAAAAAAAAAATTAAAGTTGTAATAATGTAAATTAGGTTATTTTTAAATTACATTTTCACTCCTCATAATAAAATAATTTAATACATTTTCATTTATTTCTCTATTATTATTTATTTGCTCATAATAGTATAATTTGCCAAGAAAACTAAAAGAAAAGAGAAAAAAAAGAATATGTAAAAAAATACTTTTTTTAAATTTTATACTAATTCTTACCTTTCATTAACTACATTATAAAATAATAATGTGATATTGTGTTTAAATAATTTTAGGCGGAATTTGATTTCTTTGTTATTATATAAAGCAACAATTAGCAAAAATGATAAATCATCTTTTTCTGCAATCGAAATATTTTTTATAATATACAATTTAATTTCAGGTTTTAATATATATAAGTAAATATTATATAATTCAAAGAAAATAGATTTGCTATTATCCTAAAGAAAAAAAAAAAAAAAAAAAAAAAATTTTTTTTTTGATAAATATAAAGTTTTATTATTACATAAATACTCAAAATAATTAATTAAAAATAAAATATATAATAAAAGAAATCTCAAATATATATATATATATGTATATATATATTTTGCTTACACTTTCATAGAATTGAGCAAATCCTCTTATATTACAGTATAAGTAATTTTTAATCTCATAAATATTATTAAAACTAAAAATATTAGGAATATGTTTAAAATATTTATCTGTTTCTATCATTTGTTTTTTTTTTTTAAATTCAAATGATATATTAAAAATATCTCTTTGTATAATGTTTCCATAAATATACAACTTTTTAAAATCATTATTTAATTCATATAATGTTCTAATTAAAGATAAAACACCAAAATAATTTAAATTATTAAACTCAACATTTAGATAATTTATACAACTGGATATATTTCCTTTTTCTTCCTTTATGTTTTTGATTATATTCGTTATGTTATCTTCATTTAGTCCACAATTCATTAAGCTTAATGATGATATATTTGTCTTTATTATTAAATTAGCTATAAAATATTCAGCAGATGTATTTGAAAAATCAATAAAATCTAGAACAAGTTCAGTTAAATTTATATTTTTAAGAAATATTATAACATCATCTATATTATTTTTAATTGTATCAAATGATAAATCAAGAAATAAAGGATTTTTTGTAATAATTAATGTATTACATTGCTTAATATTTGAAAATGTTAAAAATTCAAATAGATTTAGGATGTTCATTTTTCTATTAGAAAAATCAATAATCTTTAAGTTTTTTATTTTTTTTTTATAGGAACATATAATTTCATCTGCATTTTTATCGTAGTTAATATTTTTTAAATTCAGTATACTCTCATCTGTTAAAAAATAATAAACGGCATTTTCGTATACACATAAACCTAAGGAATTTAGATACTTTGTATATTTAACTAATAACACTCTTGTAATTATATTATTAAAAATTAAATTTATTTGATCTGCATTTCCAGACAAACAGCAGTTAATTATATCGCCATCTTCATTAACTACTTTTAAAATTATATCACTTATATTATTGTCTTTTTTTTCAATTTTTGCAGTAATATTTTCATTTATTTGAAGTGAATATAATAGACTATCTTCTGATATATGTGTACTATTTTCATACAATTTTATATAATACACAAGTATTTCAATAAATAAATTTCCTTTATTGATTCTCTAAAAAATTAAAATATATATCAAAAAAAATATTATAAATATTTAACAAGTTTTTTAGAATTTTTCATAATTAAGTATTTTTAAAATATTAATTATTAAGTCTTTATATTGAATACAATATAAAATTGTATCTTTATTTTTTTTTTTTTTTTTTTTTTTTTTTATTTCTAACCACGTCATTATTAATAAGAAAAAAGTCTACATAACTATATAAGTAAGTAATATTTATTTTGGGATCTTTAAAATAAAATGCTTTTTCGTTTGCATTAGCATTATAATATACATTTCTTATATCCAAATATTCATAAGAAGAAATAGTTAATGAAGAATATGTATATTCGGAACTGTTTAAATCGGAAGGATTTTTGTCCTCATCTTCGAATAATTCACTTTCTTCTGATTCTTCTTCATTATTTTGATCATCTTCTAAAATTTTAACAAAAAAAATAATAAAATATATAAGATATATAAAATAGAGTAAATATAATAAATAAATAAAATAAAATAAAATAAATAAAATAAATAAAATAAATAAAATAAAATAAAATAAAATAAATATGTATATCTATATCTATCTATATATAATGTAAAAAAAGAATATGATAAATATTGTATCAGGGTCATTTCTTATTTTTTTTATTAACCTCTATGTATTTTTGCTAATAAATTAAATCCTGCTTCTTTAGAAAATTTCATAACTTTTTTAACATTTTTTTTTTTTTCCTTTATGATCTTATTTGATAGTTTTGGTTTAAGAATATACTTTTTTTTATTTAATCTATTACATATATAAAATTTTAATTTTCTTAAATCATCTTCATAAACTCTATCACTTTTTTTCATTACTTTGTATTTTTTTTTTAAATTATCTATACTTCTATGGTCTAGATATTCAAAACTTAGAGAACTGTTAGTTTGAATTGAATCTTCGCTTTCACTAACTTCTTCATTTATATCATCATCGTCTTCATCTATTTCATCTTTTTCATCTTTTATATCTTTATCATCTTTTTCCTTTTTAACGTTACTTAGTTTAGTTAATTCCTCTTCATTATTATCAAATTTCAAAGTTTCTTCAATTATTAAATCTTCATCATATATTTTAATGTTTTCTAATCTTAATCTTGTTAAATTCTCTTCTTCTTTTTTCATTTTTTCATCTTCTATCATATCTTCCCTTATTTTATCATAAATTTTTTTCTCTATTAATAAAATGTAAAATGTGTATAAAGATTATTAGATATATTTCAAAATAAAAAGTGTTAATAATTTCTTTATTTTTTTTTTTTTTTTTTTTTTATATATTACTTTTAAGATCATAAATATTAATTTTTTCTTCCTTTAACTTTTTTCTTAAATTTTGTGTAATTCTAGTGTAATAACCGGGAGAATATAAACTATCATCATAATTATATTTCTGTAGTAATTCTGATTCTTCTTTCATTTTTTCTTTATTCATTTCTATTTTTGTTTGTGTTAAAACCTGATTAGACTTCAAAATTTTAAAACATTATACCGTTTAATAAAAAAAAAAAAAAAAAAAATAAAGGTAGCTTTTTATGAACTAGTATTAGATAAAAAGTGCATTATCATTTAATAAAAAATATGTTGAAATTAAAAAAAATTATATATTTATATATATCATTTATAAATGTAAAACAATAATATATTTTTTAATATTTTCTTATATATATACTTTTTGATTAGAAAAAGTTTCATATTTGTGATACTTTTCATTATCATATAAAAATATTTCTGTATTAAATTTTTCAGGTATGAAATTAGAAAAAGTTCTTATATTTAAATCATCTTTAACTTTAGTTAAAAGATTATTAACATTATTTTTTATTTCTCCTTCCTCTGTTTTTTGAAATGTATTATTTTTTAAATAAGCATTTTTTTTGTTGTATAAATTATCTGAATCATCAGATGTTGAACTTTCGGTAATTCTGTCGGCATTTTCATCATAAAAAAAATTGTCATAATGTAGATAATCTAAAATATTAGTTTTTTTGTCTTTAATTTTTTTTTTTTTTTTTATATTTAATTCTTCTACTTTTTTTCTAATTTCTAGTTTTTCATCCTATATATAAATATTTTCAAAAGGATTAATAAGAATATATAATTTCTTCTTAATCATTTTTACTAGTTTTTTTTTTTTTTTTTTTAATATTATTTAAAAAATTTTTATTTAAATACCTCTAATTGATCTATTTGTAGTGAAACTTGAGATCTATAGAAATTAAACCATTACATATATATTTATATATATATATATATATATGAAATTTTTACAAATAACAATTTTTTGATAAAAATAAAAAAAAAAAAATATATTAATTTTAAAAAAGTTACTTTTTATCTTCCTCTGATTCTATATCATCAAAATCTATAAATTTTTATAATCAAAAACAAAAATTAAAATATATGTAAATTTTGTGTATGCCTTATGAATATATATATATATATATACATACTGTTATTTAAGACATCTAAGATTAAATTTTCTATTTTAATTTTATCACTAACAACATCATTTTTATAAGCAACTCTTTCATATTTATCAACTAAAACTGAATCATTAAAATGGATATTTTTAAACTTAGTTTGTTTTTTATTTACATTATTTTCTTTTTCTTTATTGATGAAATATAAATATCTAGATTTATCATTCCATGTATTCATATCATCTGAAAAGATAAAAAAGATATTATTTTGGTAATTTTTTTTTTTTTTTTTTTTTTTCATTTCTTTTTAATTTAATTTTATTTTCTTCTTTTTATTTAATTTTGTAACCTTCATAAACTAACACATCATTATCACAAAAAAAATTTTCAGTAGTGATTCCAGTGTTACTCATTTTTTCTTGGACATTTTTTGTTATATAGTACTCATTGGTAGAATTTATATATTCATAATTTTTTTTATTTTTTTTATCATTATAAGTAAAATTATACTTTCGACCAAAATAATCCTTTTGTCTCAAACGTATTTCACCTTTAGGTATTTTTATTAAATCATTAGCAAAGCTTAAATTAATATATTTTTTATCATCTTCAGAATTATTTTCTCTATTAAAATAATATAGTATATATAGGAAGGTAATATATATATATATATATGTATAATAATAATATGAGAAAAGTATTTCTTTTTCATAAATATATATTTTAATGAAAACCTTATATAAGAAGGGTGAATTACTGTTCTATATTCATTGTTAGATACAACAAGCTTTAAATCATTTTTTTTTTTTTCTAAAAAAAAAAAAAATGAAACAAAAAAAATAGATGTATATAAAAAAATATAATAAGTTATATCAAAAATAATTCCTGTTTTAACCTTTCTTTTCTATATTATCAAATTCATGTAAATATTTTTTTTCATTTTCAGAATTTTTTTCTGTATAATTCTCTTTATTAATATATTCATTATAACCTAAAAAATTAATAAATTTAATAATAAGATATCACTTTCTTCAATTTTTTTATTTTTATTTTTTAACTTAGATATTCATTTTCATATATAGGGGGTGATTCACCATCTTGGATAGTAGTTAAGAATGATTCTGTTTACAAAATTAAAAAAATATATTATCTTTTTAAATATTTTTTTTCGTTTAATAAATGGATATTTTAAAATATAAATTAGTATTTTTCTAAGTTTATATATATGTATCATTAGAGATAATGATAATGCAAAAAATACTTTATTAATTTTTTTTTTTTTTTTTTTTCTTTTTACAACTAACTATTTAAATTTATTAATGTTTTTTTTTTTAAATTTGAGTTTTTCTCCATTTTACATTTATGCTAATTTAAGAATCCTAATAGATAAGTAAAAAAATTTTGTTCTAAAAATTCAAAGAAAAATTATATATAAAATTTACGTATTTATAATAATGTTTAATAAAAAAAAAAAAAAAAATAAAAATAAATATTTTTTATTAAAATACATATTAACCAAAAATAAAGAAATAAATATTTCACTGAAAAAATATCAGTTAAATATATTTCACAAGAATAAAAAAACAATTTTCATCTTAATAAAAAAAAAAGACAATTGTGTTTATTTTTTTTTTTTTTTTTTTTTTTTTTTTTTTAAATT